CTCTTTCGATTTTGCCTGATCGGCTCCCTCGGTGTAATTCACACGAGCAAGCCGACTTGTCCAGTATCTTTCCCAGTAAAAGCACACGAGGACGCCCCGGAGCACGACAGGTCCGCACGCACAGCCTCTCCACCAGCTTCCTCCGGCTGCGTGCCGGCGCCCACCTTCCCGTCCCCTTTAACTCCGTGGCGGAAGCGGCGCGGCGGCCGGTCTCTGGCGCCCAATGAGTTTGTGCGGCGCGTCCTCTGGCCTGACCGGGCTGGGCCCGTCACTTCCTGCCCCTGGAGCCGGCACGGCTGCGGCTGAGATCCTGGGGAGGCGGAGGTGGAGGAGGAGCAGGAGGGGGGCGGGGAGGCTTGCGTTGCGTTCGCCACCACCATGCCCTTTGATTTCAGGAGGTGAGTGCAAATGACCCCGGGAAAGGGGTGCGAGAGAGAGAGAGGATGAATGAATGAAATGAATGAATGAATGAAGAGCACCCTGGGGCACGGGCTGAAGTCGTGGAGATGCTCCATCCACTACACGGGAAGGGAGTGCTGGTGGGTGCACTCACACGTCCTTCCCACTTACTCCCGCTCCCAGTTGCTTGTGAAGCTGTCACCTTTTTTCATAGGGAGACGGAAAGTGAGGAACCAGCAGCCCCCCTGGGTGCACAGTGTCTCTCACTCTCTCTCTCTCCCGGATGCACGCTAGGATGGGAGAAAGGTGCGGGTGTGGAAGATAACGTGGGCAAATCCTCAGCCTTTCCTCTGGCCACCTTGCATTGTAATGCATGGGGCAGAAGAAGCACCACTGGCTTATCCTATTGGAAAAAAAAAGAGCTCACATTTCAGGTTTTTAAAAGAGACTTCATATGAGTACGTGGTTCTCTTTGAGGCACAAGGAAGTAGCTGGACCAGATGGAGCTTGAAGGAAAATGCCACCTGGATTTTCTTTGCCACCCCAGAAATGAGGGTGATGGAGAGAGGGGAGTGTCTGTTGGAAGAACCTGGGCTTGACTAGTGGTTTGTCTGGCAGCATCAAAGTGTGACTCATTATTCTCCATTATGTCCCTTTAGCAAAATTCCTGCTAATTTGGATCCCTTGCTTAAAGGCTGTGCTGAATAGAACGATTATTTCCCCATCTATTCCTTTGGTGGATATTCTTGAAAGAGTATGTCTACTCAGGAGTTAATAGTAATAGATCCTTACATTCAATAGGATTTGCTCTCTGAGATTGCAGTTGGTCGGATTGCATAGTAGCTGTTACTGAACCTGAGGATAAATTCCTTGGAGCCCAAGGAAAACATATAGTGTCTCAGTGTAGAGGACACCAAAGAGGCCATTGCAGTCCTCATAGCAGTGGGTAGTATGTGCAGAACTGATAGGAGAATGAAAGAAGAGAGTTGAGGGGAAGGAGAACCTGAGCTTCACCATAGATACATGCCCTTCAGTGATGCTGGTACAGCTGTGTGACAAAGAGATCCTTGCTCTTACATTGGTGGTACTCTTGTACTGCCTGTGAAACTGAAGAGATGCCAAGTGGTCACTGGCAAAGTTCTGTCCTTTCTCATCCGCATATAGTGAATGCTGTATTTTTGCCCTTCTTCCAGGTTTGTCTTTTAAGGTTTCCACCATATGGCTGCCTGAGGCACTTCAGCCCTTTGTGTAATTTTTCCCCCCAAGCACCGATCATTCAGTCTTATGTTCCTTCCGCCTTTCCATCTCTTATTTCTGCCTTTACTCTGATTCCATTTGGCATGTTGTTTCTCTTATGTAATGCAATTCTAAATGCTAAAACTAACAACAATCTGTTATGCCAAAATGGCATTTTCCTTTAGCCCTGTTAATTTTTCAGACCTAGTCCTGTTTTCTTATCAGATCTCTCCAAAAGACCAGTTGAACTTGTTATCTCTGTGTTCTGTGTTGCAGGCTTTTAGGCTGAACAGAACACTTCAGCTGTGGAACAGTTCTCTTTTTTTTGGTTGATGGTTAGTACTATGCTTAAAATAATTCCATATTTATAATATACTGAGACAGGTAATTCAGGATCCCCAGCTATTCTGTTGATAGCAACTTTTGAAGGCCCAGTTTCTTGCTGCTTGAATCAATACTATGCAGCCTGAAGTTGTTTCTATTTGTAAAGCCCCTACACATATGGGGTGTTGTGGGGGGAAATATCTGGATGGGGTTGATTCTGCGTGGAGCTCTGCACACTTATTTGTAATTTTAAAAGAAAATAAAGATTTCCTGCTTTCTATATATTTAACCTCTAATTTAATGTTTAATGCTTGATTTAAATGGTTTCACAACCAAGATTTGAAGCTGAAGTTATAGGGTAAGGCATTGTCCTTCTGAGTTTACTTCCTTCTGCTTGCATCTTGAGAAGAGTGAGAACACAATCTCTGTTTTTGTTTATTTTGGAGTGTTCATATCTCCCTGAAGGAGAAAACAGGTGGAGTTGTAATTCTTATGAAGAAAGACATAGTGTTATTACATAACATCTCAGATGTAACTGGTATTTTGTGAGATCCTTGCTCCAAGCCCTTATGACATAAATTCACACAAAAGCAGCAGGCTTTAAGGAAGTGTGTATGTGTAGGGTAGTGGCATAGAAGGTGTATACAACATCTGTATTCCTTAGTCTATAATTGTGATTATATAATGTTGTTAGGTTACTGTTCTTCGTCAGATACTTCAAGGTGCCGAGGTGTACTGAAAAAGGAAATAAGAGGATTCCGTTTAATCATTCATGGCACCTTAAATAAATGAGTGGTGTGGGAATACTGTTATTTTCCACAGGACAAATAATAACAAGGCAACACTAGTCAATGGTGCATTGAGGTGGTTTTTTCCCCTTAATTTGTAGACGTGTGTAATGTGTAGGCTTTAGGTCATTACCAAGTGGTAAAGCCTACTGGAAAGTCTGTTTAGAGACAGTTCGCCTGTATGGAGCTAACATTGCAGATGAGTGTTGATACTGTTTCTATTGAGAATGCAACAGTGAAAAGAAGTGTTTCTACAGCCTTCAGTAATTCAGAAATGTTTGGGACCTTTTGAAAAATATGAATGGTAGCAACCACAGTGCAACATTTGTGTACCTTTTGTAAATTTAAACAGGCTGTTTTGTAACCTTTTGTAAATTTAAACAGTAATGTTTAAAAGTTTGTACTGTGGAGATGACGAATGCCCTCTTTTGACCTTTTCCAAACTTAGAGTGTATCTGCGCCACACAGTTCTAAGTAGTTTGATACCACTTTAAACTGCCATGTCTCTATCTTGTGAAATCCTGGGATTTAGAATTTAGTGAGGTGCTTAGAATTCTCTGCTAAACATTTCTAATGCTGTAGTTGAAAATAATGCGTTAAAGCAGTGGTTCTCACCTTTGGGTTCTCTTATGCTTTATTCTTAGGCTCCCCACAGCTCTGGGCAACAAGACCTGTGGTCTGATATACTGAGAACTGAAATATAACATTTAGAGGTCCAAAGGTTAAGAATCCCTACATTTATAGCCAGGGCGGATTTCATTTTAATTAAAAAAAACCAGATCTTTGGACAATTAAAATTAGAAAATTGGTTTTTAATGAACTTGTTATCTCTTTAAATCAATTTGATTTTTAAAAACACATTTATTTTTGTCCACCCTGCTTATTTGTCCACCCTGCTTATAGCTCTAACAGAGAATTATAAATATGGTGATGAAACACAAATTCCAGGATTCTGTTTGATACCAGTTAAGGCGGTACTGAATTGCCATAATTGTATAGATGCACTCTTAATTTTCCAGTCTCAGACACAGTTTTTTATCCATCCCTTGCATTTGTATTTTACAAGGTGTGCAGGACAGCAGGTGTGGGGAAATCTAATTTTATCTAATTTCACCATTAAATTCTTACACACAACTCTTCTGAGTTGGGAGCTGAATTGGATAGGCAATCATATAGTTCGTCGTCATTTAGTCGTGACCGACTCTTTGTGACTCCATGAACCAGAACACGCCAGGCGCTCCTATCTTCCACTGCCTCCTGGAGTTGTGTCAAATTCATATATTTACAATGCTAAAAATTCTAGGAACATAGAAAACTGACTTATGCAAAGTCAGATCTCTGGTTCAACACACTCAGCATTGTCTACACTGCTTGGCAGCAACTCCTCTAAATGTTATATTTCAGTTCTCTTTGATGAAGTCTTTTCTAGACTTACCTCTAGATGCTTGAGATTGAATCAAGGACAAACTGCAGGCAAAACATGTACTCTCCTCTGCTGACCTATGGCCCTTCTATATTTTACAGCATCTAATCTCTGACAAAAGATAGGCTGCTGCTCCCAGAGACAGATGCATCTCTTGTGTGGTTTTCAAGGGTTGCCCTGTGCAGTGTACTTTGCAGTAGCGGCTGATCTCGTAACCTCAAGCCATTTCTGCTTCTACGCCAAACAGCTATGATTATTATTAACATTCACAGCAGTCTTGCAACCTATGCAAACAATATTTCTTTAATCTGTTTGTTCTTAGCAAGGAGTTCCTGTTTCTTGCTTAACAGCACAGTCTTCTTGTGTATATTTATTTAAAAAAAAGCCACACTTTGTCAAGAGGAACCTTTACCTATGAAGGCATGTAGAGATTACAACTTCAGAACAGTCCTATCCCATCCTTTGATGGTTAGAGAGGGTGAGGAGGTAACAGAGCTAACTTTGTCCTACCTGTGGAGAGTAGCTACAACAATGGAGGGGATCCACTATACTAGAATCCCTTCATCCACCCGAGCAAAAAGCTCTTTCTGAACAGCCCCGAGAGGTGACTTTCAGGATGTGAATTGGAGCGAGCTTTGGATCCACTGGATTGAAAGTTACTCTCTTCCTCAGCAATAAGATTCATGCAGGCAGCTCACTTACACCAGCTTGGAAACAAGCAAGCAAGGAAGGAAGCAAGCAAAGAAACAAAGTCCCTCCTCATCTGAGTCTCAGGTGTTCAGAATTGTGGGGTGGGGAGAGAAATCAATAATAAAATAGTGGTACTATGAACATTTAATACCTTTGTGCTTAAATAGCCACATTCTGGTTTTGGCAACAAATATACAAGTGGTACTGATCCTATTTAAGAGTTGTTGAACCAATGTGACATTGATAGTTGACATCTTATGCTGGCATAGGTGTGCGTCTCCATAAGTGTGGTTAAGGCAGGACAGAAATGAGATGTTATTGTTGCACAGCAAGATATTGCCCAGAAAGAAGAATTATGGCATGGTGTGGGAAGAATGTTGGAACGTTGATATTATCTGGTGTTAAAATTTTGGAAATATTCAGTTTTTCTGGGGAAAATGGGAAATGTTTTTTTCCAAGAAAAATGGAAATTTTCAGAAATTTTACATCACTTTCATGACTAGAGATGTAAACATTTCTGTTCTTTTCCAGAAAAAAA